ATTATTTGAACAGATTATGTAGAGAACACTGAACACATAATTAAGCACTGTTGAATCAAGGTGATGTGCACATCTAATTGCCCTCTCACCGCTTCACTGTGCTTGTACACAGTCCTCTAATTTCATTTATAGAGATGGGAGGGTGGGAGAAAATCAGTTTTACCAGGTGGTTCAGGACACAGAACACATTTAAAATTAAAATGAAATGGAACAATCTGAAATAAAAAGACTGAGATAGCCCAGCCAAGGAATCTGTACTCCCAACCACAAAAACCTGTTATTGCTCATGTGGCCTAATTTAAGTGCATTCCTTTCAGCTTTCTTAAAATGCAGCTTCTCCAAATACACTAACCCCATCCAGCACGATCCATTTACTTGCTTTCATGAATGTTGCACAAGCTGTTACTCAGCTTTGCTAGCAAAGAAAAGCCCAAAATCTGAGCATTTTCTTACAGCTGCAGGTACAACCGAGTTTACTCAGAGCAGGAGAAGCAGTGATCCTGACTGGAACACAGATTGCAGCTTTGTTATGAAATACAGAGCTCTGCAAAGCCGTGCAAGGACCAACCCAGCTCAGCTCCAACCTACTGCAGGGCATGAGAATAAACTGCTAAACTCAGGTATTGCCAACACCTGAATTATGCAAGTCTTGCAGGTCTGGATGTCTGTCTTCAGCAGAATCAAAAATTTGCAAATAAATTTCTCTTTTCATTTAAGAACTTAGAGCAATTTCTGTCTTCTCTTCCTTAAACCTCATGATGACCAAGAAAATGTTAAAAAAATTTAGTAGATGCACCCCCAAGGCTCAAAACCTGGGGGAGAATAAGAACCTGTTTGTCTTTTAAGAAGTGTCTCATGACTTATAAGGTGGTATCTTGCTTATGGGGATGGGTGGATCCGATTCATTTTTTGATAGCTCGTGTTTGGCAGTAACGTTAACTTTTATTTACCTTGACATACAACTTTAATTTTTACTTTCCTACTGCAATCGTGTTCTTCCCCATGTAACAGGTTCTGCTAGTGGCAGGTGATTGCCAAATCTTTTTTTAGGGGGAAAAGCCAGTGCACAGTTGCTTATTTATTTATTTGCACTCAGAGTGGGTGGGGAAGATCAGCACACAACTTACTTGAACAAAGGAAAGAAATCTGAGGAACAAACTTTTGAAATGCTTTGGTTTTCTTCTGCTGCAGAAACAGGAGAAGATATTGCAAGGCACAGGAATATGGGTATCCACAGAGGAAATATCCCACAATAAATGAGACACAGTTCTGCCTAAGGTTTTACTTCACCTAATTCATAGAGCTTCTCGCTCAACCTCAACAACCTACTCTCTATCTCAGTATTACAAATGATAATGGCTCTTTCCTTCACAGATTTTCAAGAAGGTTTTATTGTGCTATGAAAGAAACTTGTGAGAAACTTTGTTCAATTTAGCCTATTAAGGCTTTTGTTTCTAAACACTTCAGTAAAGTTTCAATTGTTAAAGATTTTCCTTCTGAAAAGACTGATTAACCTGCTTATATTCTTGTGTTCCCAGGTCATTAATTAAAAAAAAAAATAATAATCAAGGATGCTTATAAAGTCCTCTGCAATCCAATCTCAATTTGTCATCATTAATTAGCTCAACATTGCATACAAATGAAGATCTAACTTGATTAGACAGCATGTTTTACTGGAATTCCTACTTAAGGTCATGGAAGACTTCAGAGAGAAAATTTGTAATATTATCAAAGTGAGCTGCTCATACATATGAAATCACTCTCTCACCTAACTGCAGCTAGTGTTTCTCTCTGCAGTTTTTGGCCATTTCCCCCCCAACTAATCCCTAGTTAGGAGCCCATTACAAACCTGAGCAGAGAAGCAATCCTGATGTTACACTCATCTCCCTCAGCCTATCCTATACAAATACTGCTGACTTGGCAAAGGGTGCCTGTTGTCCTGGGACAATAAATCTGCCCCATAGAAGGAGTCTGCAGAACTTGGATGGGAATTAGGGAAAACAAATATTTCAGGACAATTTCTGGAGACATAACATGTACTCAGTGAGTATCCTGTCTGTTTTCCCCATCTCCAAAAGAAGCAGCCTTGGGATCTACACATGATTCCAGATTACCACCTCCAAAGCACACAGATCAGGAGCTAAATAGCTAAATGCACAAACTAGCTGAGAAATTTGAAGCATCTTCACAGGTCTCTAATCCTCCCATGAAAGCAGCTCTTGCTTTTTAGAGAAATAAACCAGCCCTTTTACCAAGCCCACAACCTTCACTCCCATGACCTAATCTGACATGACTCAGCCCAGAAGCTCAGAGGAGCTCCAGTGAAGCATGCTGTCAGCCAGGGCAGTAGATGCCCTGACAGTCACCACCAAACCTTCCCAGCGTGGCAAAGTCAGTCATCCTGGCTCATCCTCTCCCAAAAAGGGGAAAATACAATACAATGGATTCCTTTACTTAATACTGTTACCCTGGGGAATGGCAAGAGGGATTAAAAAAAAAAAGAGCCAAGAAACAAGGCTTTCAAGTTTTGGACTCTTAATAAGGGTGGGGCCATCAAGTAATTAAACTTTTAATAGGTCACTGCAATGGAAGAAACTCTTCCAGTTGGGTAAGTTCCTAATCCATCATTAAAAAAAGACGACAGGCATTAATCAAAGCATATGAAGTCACATGGGGGGGATGAGCAACTCTGAGAACTTGCTGTTGCCGAGAGGATGGGGAAATCACTCCTCCTTTCATCAACATTTCATGCATGTTTCCACATTTCTCAGACGGCAGCGGGAAAGAGAGCCTTCACGTCCTTCCCCACCCACCCCACTGATAAAGCTGTCGAACGCATATTACCAACTGCTCAAGAGCCCATGTGAAATGAGTTGGTGGATTAATTAGCAGAAGGGCAGAGCTCTGAAGAGAGAAAGATGCTCTACTGTGAAAGGCGTATTGATTGAAGGTCCCCAGCCACCACCACAAGACTGTCATCATCCACTGCCAACATATAGCACACTACCAGCTCCTGCATGAGCAGCTAAATCTAGGTCACTTAGCTCAGTGCAGGGACACCTGGACCATACTCACTCATCCCTAATCAGACAGCTGTTTGGGAGTCCATTCCTTTGGTAAAATACACAAATTTAAACCTAGACGGACTGCAACAGGCACAGGGAGCACACTATCTGCTGGTAGCATGGCCCACATCAGAAAAGGAGGGGAAGCAAAATGTGTTTTCCCCCAGGTTGCCCATGTTTGGCAACTGTAGTCACCAAGGAGCCATTTTATTTATTTTTCAAAGACAACATGTAATCTGATCTTTGACTACTACCTCTATCCCAGAAAACCATTATCACTGCAGTGAAACATCTGAAGTGCTTGCTTAACTTTAAGCCTGCAAGTAGTTCACTTGTCTTCAACTTCACTGGAACAGCCTACTACATACGTTCAAACCTCATTTCAAAAGACCGCTTTTAGTAGTTGAAAGGACAGCATCAAAAGCTCTGGTTCCCTGCAGCTGCGTTAGACAATTCTTTGTACCATATGCATCAAAAGAGAACAACTTTTCATATTTCCTTCAAAGGGCCTTCAGAACAGCCTGCAAAAATCCCAGGGCGGCATTTTCTTGCTCTGAGAAACAGCAAGTAGAGCTGACCAACATTTTCCTTACCTAAAGGTAAGCGAAAATACAGCATATAGTGCAAGGGGAGAAACCTGGACATGAAAAGAAGTGTGGACTATAGTGGGGTATCACTGCCAGTACAGATAACGAAAACGTATCATTTTAATCTCGCTTAAAAATGTTTCACCATTTGACATGTAAACAAACAAAAAAATTAGGTCTTGAGCAGACCTATCAAATTTTAGCCCCATTTAACACAATTTTCTGAACAAAGTTATTGTTACCAATTTTAGATAAATTTTACCAGAAAAGGCTTTTAAAGTATGCATAACTTGGTGATTTATTATTATGTGGCAGATTGGAGCACATGGGCTAGCTTATTTGCTAGCTGCAATACCAGCTAGCTTGTCTTTAAATTTGAGCTGAAAGTAGTTCCTCAGTTTAAAAAAAGAAAAAAAAAAAAATTAATGTCTTAGCTTTTGGTAGGAAGTGTATCTTTTCTGTTTAATAAAGTCTCTGAGTCCCTGCTTTTACTTAGGTGGCACAGGGTAAGACATTATTCACTGCACCTACTTCAAACGCCTGAAGGAGAGGAAGGCAAATACTGAACATTTTTAAGACAGCAATATTCTCCATCACAAACATCTCTAGACTAGAGCCATGAACTGCAAGAGCATGTTTGGCTCCAGACACACTGTGTCCTGGGTTGTGAAGTTTCTAGAGCTGGAACAACCAAGCTGGCTCCACCAAAAATCAGGAGCTGGGCTCCGTACTTTTTTTTTTTCGTAAGAAAGGTACTATTCTGACAGCAAGAGCAAAGCATTAAGAAAGAAATAAACATATATGCAAATAACCCAAATACCACAAGGCTGAGCAAACCTCAGCAAAGCTCACAGGGGCTCCTGCACCAGCTGCAAGAGGGAAGGATGTGGAGAAAAAGCCCTGCACTCCATGGGTCGGAGTAAGGAGCAGAACCTCCGTCCTTGCGGCACAGCCCACACACCCAACCTCATGCAAATCCATGGATGCTGAAGAAATCCAAGGCAAGTGCTGAAGCCATGCTTATGCCTACCTCATGTTTTACTCAGGCATACTTCCTAGACCCAAAAGGAGAGCCACTGTTTCATCACACATGGACTTTATGTGACTGTCATTTTGCAAGGCATTTTATTCACCTGGGATTTAGTGTTATTATTAAGGGTTAAATTCCCACCACACCCTCCCAGTTCAGCCAAGATAAATCTCTCTCTTGTGTGTGACATGTCATGCACTGAAGAGGACACAGGTCACTCTGTTCTTGCATAAGCCTGGCTATGTATCATATGAATAATGCCACCACTGGCATTGGAACTGAAGCCAGATAAGGAGCAAAGTGGTGCTACGTCCTTACCGTCCACGTTGCTGACTTTGCTGTGCTAGACTGTTGAAATGATACATCAAAGCTGTGAGGTCCTGGGTAGTCTGTGTTGGAAGGGATGGCTGGGGAAGGTGAGAGGGCATCAAAAGTCGAGCTGGGCTGGGCATAAGGCGAAGGGGCCGTGACGCTGTTCTGTGCATGCTCAGTGTTGTAGGGACTGGTGGAGGAAGAGCCGTTCTGGATCTGCTGGTCCATGCTGTTCAGGAGCCCCAGGTTCGTGTACTGCGGCTACAGGCAAAGAGATACACAGGAATGTTACAGAGGAAACATTAGCACAGGCTGGCAAGCTACAGGATGGCCTTCACAATGCAGCATGCACAGCATAATCTCAGCACCACCATATATGTGTCACACTAACAGAAAGGAGATTTGCAAAGGATATACACCTTTTTACACTGCCGACTGAAACAGAAAAAGTACAGCTTCTCACAGTCACACAGTGGATCAACAGCCAAACCGGGAAAAGAGCTTGCACATCACACGGATGTGATTCGCAGGGCAGCAAGTCATCTCAAGCAGATACAGTCCCTTTGTTTGGAAACACCCAGACTGAGAACTTTTTGGAGGGACCTGATAAAAATCACTGGTTCATTACAGTGCAACTGGCTCTAACTTGTACAAGGCTACATCTGACAGTCTTGCGCTCTACACAAAGATTGCTCCTCTTCTTGCGGATCTGGTCCTGCTATGCCCATAGACATTTAGGACCTCTGACTCAGGCAGTAACTGCACTGAATGCTCACTGGAGAAAAGGTTCATAGCACTTAACCAGATTGCACTATGCACTCCATTCCCAGTGACTGGTCACACAGTAGCAGGAAGGAACTAAAGGTCTCATCAAGTAGCATGGAAGCCCACAGCATGGAAGGCTTCTGCACGTACTTCAGAAGTAGCAGTTCCACTGTGTGTCTCACATAAACGAGCAGATATGGTTGTGCCCCAAAAGTAGCCTTCAGGTACAAAGAACATATGAAACAACTGAAGACATCAAAAACAAAGGCTAGGGAATAGAGCACAGAAAAGCAAAGGATAGATTAGGGAGAGGTTAGCAGAAAAACAACATGCCTAATGCCCTCAGTTCTATATGTAGCCTTGGTCCCCCACCTCAAAGAGATGAAGAGGGAGCAAAGTTCAGAAAAAGGTGGCAAGAATCAGCAAACCCCTTTAATGCCTTCCTGTAATACAGCAGTAGATTATGACTTTTCAGCCTGGAAAAGACAATTAAATGAGAGGTAGAACTTTATATTACAGAAGTGAGTAAATTTATAAATGATATGGGAAAAGGCAAATAGGAAATTCATTTTCATGATCTCCTAATAGAGGAGTTAGAGAACACGGAGACATCCTGAGCAGGATTTTGATTAAAACACGCACAGAGTTGTTCCTCACAAAGCCCACAAATGAACATGCATTTCCTGCCACAAAATGCTGCGGATACTAAGTCTACATACGTTCAAAAAGGCATTAGACAAGTTTTGCTTGAGAAAAATCTATCAAGTCAAGCATATCTGATTTTAAAATTCTGAACCACAAACAGCTGGAAGCTGGGAAAGTTCCCTGGGGAAAGAAAGTTACACAACTACCCTGCTTTTAGACCTCCTAAGTACCAGGCACTAGCCACTAAGACAGGGCAGCAGGAGAGCAGTACACATGGAGTTCAGCCAGGTACACTAGTCTCATTCTTGTGTGTGCCAAAGGGTGTAGTTTGTGCCCAGCTCAGGGAGAACAGCATCCAAAAGTTTGTGGTATCCATCCCCAACTGCTCTGGGATCAATCAGGAACGCACAGCAGTAAAACCTGGTTCTGCTGTTGGCTGCTGACATGGCAGAAGGGGCTCTGGTTCTTCCCCTTGCCTATGTACCTCATTTCCCTCCACATCCTACAGCTTCAATCCCACCCAGAGCCATCAAGCTCACATGTAGCTTAGTATTTCAGCCAGTTTCTCCTACTTCCCTCTTCTTTCCAACAGTTGCTTCATTTCCAGAGACAACTTGATATTATCAGCCAAGCAGCAAAGGTTTCTTGAGTCAGAGCACCAACCGCAAGACTTGTAACAAAAAGCTTTCCCAATACTGGGATTCCCACCAGCCCTGTGGAAGCTTTGAGAAGCACACCATCGCTCTTCCATGGCCCTGAAAAGAAATGGCAGAAGTGATAGGACAAGGGGTAAGGAGTTAAAACTTAAACGGGAAGTTTAGATTGGATATAAGAAGGAAATTCTTTCCTGTTAGGGTGGTGAGGCACTGGAATGGGTTGCCCAGGGAGGTTGTGAATGCTCCATCCCTAGCAATGTTCAAGACCAGGTTGGACGAGGCCTTGGGTGATATGATTTAGCGTAAGGTGTCCCTGCCCACGGCAGGGGGGTTGGAACTAGATGATCTTAAGGTCTTTTCCAACCCTAACTATTCTATGATTCTATCATCTGAGCTCCCCAGGGACTTTGGACAAGCCATTTAACACCCAGCTTTGTCAATCATTTCAGCCATGTAGGAAAACAGGCTGATCCCTGTGCAAGGATGAAGTGCCCTTCTTATGCTCAAATACTTTGTGATCTCAGCTGTCCTTCCGCAAAAGAAGGAAGTAGAGAAATTTAAACTCCAATTAGAGCTCTTCCTTAGGTTACTGTCTGTTTCATTTGTAGAGGCTGATATTTTATGGAGTTCTATTTAAAATCTCAAGGTGAGGCTGGGGCTCTGTGATCTTCAGTGAAGCACATAGGACCTTCCAAAGATGGATCAGCTTGCTCCTATAAGCTGTGCTGAGAAGGAGGAGGTCAGGTGGGTAACAGCACAGGGGACTTCATTTTGGAACCTGGGATGGTCTGCAGAGAAGCAAGAGCTGGTTCCCTCCCTTGATCTGGCAGCAACAGGCTGTGTCCTTGGGCAAGCCACCTCACCTCCCTCTCCACCCTCTACCTACTTCAGGCAGCAAAGTCTGCAGGGCAAGGATTGCTCCTTACTATGTAAAAAGTGCCCTGCTTAATGGGCCTCTGTTTTGTCTGAGGCCTTTAGGCAGCAGAGCAATAAAAGCAATTACATATTGAGTCCTAATCCTGGGTGAACCAGTGACTGTGTGTTGCCTCAGGTTAGTCATTTGTCCTCCCTGCCTCAGTTTCCCCATCTATAGCAGCAGGGATATTATTAATGCCCAGCATCCCTATTCGATGGGCATGCAAGCATCTGCAATTGGACTCAAAGTATGGTAAACAGTTGACACAGGAGAAAACAATCCAGACTGGTGGTTCTCCAAAAGAAGACTGCAGCTTTGGCAATGCAGATGACAGTTATGTCTCACCTCCTCTGCGGGCTATTCAGCCAGCCAAGACCTATTTAACGGACTTCTGGTATGTGTCTTCCCTTGAGGCTAATTCTGTACGGAAGGAGACAGAATGCTGATGTACTGCATGAGGAACAACCTTTTTCCAGCTCAATACTTTTGTATTTAATAAAAAAAATAATAATAAATCTCCCTGCCTTCCTGCCCCAGAATACTCTAATAAGACCTGAAGAGTTCTCAAAAATGTAAAAGTATCACTCAGTTGTTTCATTCCTCATGGAGATTGCTATCAGACACACTCCCTAACCAGCAAATGATGAAAAGGCAGCTGTGATGAAAACAGCCTCCTAAAACAGTTCAGAGAAACAGACAGCAGTGTTTCAGCTTTCACTTAAAAACTATTTCTTCTAATCCCAGGCTACTAAAGATGATGGAGAAAGATCATCAAATGGGCAGTTGGTGTTAACAGGACTGAACAGACTGGAAATGCTGAAGGTGCTGCCTGGAAGTAGAAACAAATAATTAAATAAATAAAAAAAAAATTGCCGCATTAAAATTTAAGCTATCCCTAAGAGAATCAAAGATCCTTTTCATTCCTTTCAGTCCAGGGACCATCTATCTAAATGTTACCAGTGGAGCAGCCATTCCACTGCATTTAATACACTCACATGCCACAGCCGAATGCCATGTCCCCATTTACTCTTTAAATAACTATTAATCTCCTTGCACTTATCCTCGCTCTGACATAAGCAGCTGTTGGACTCCCTTTCTCCCCCTCTAAGTCCCACCAGCCTGGCCTCTTGCTCCCCTCCCCAGGCAGGTGACAAAGCCAGCCGCCGGGTTTGCACACACACGAGCACTAACCCTCATCTCGAAGCTATGCCCCAAGGCAGGGGGAGAGTTGTTTGCGCTCAAGGGGTCAACATCTGAATTGCTTGCAAGGCTTTTGGAGGAATCAGATAAGGCTTTTGGAGGCACACGCCTTCTGACAACACAACAATTAGAGGGGCAGCAGGCCCGGCAAAGGCGTGCGCAGGAATTCGCCGGCTGCAATAAAACCCCTCGCCCCAGCCACACTGCGGATGGCGAGAACAAAGAGAACAAGGAGCTGCGGGCACGTCTGCAAGGCATTGCTCTCCAAGAGGGGTCTGCAGGGTGTGTGCACCCACAGCCTCCTTTCACCATTTGCAGAAAGAAACACAACAGTATTTAATTCAAAGTCAATTCTCAACAGGCTGGCAGCCCAGAATTTAGCACATGCTCATGTTCTGCTGTGGTGTTGTTTAAACAACTGCAGGATGTAATCCCACCACCAATTTCTGGCAGAAGGAAAACGCAATTTGGTGAAGAGAAATGCACGCAAAGCTGAGAGAAAAGACTATCTAATTTTCAGTGCCTTTGTTCTCACCATCAAGTTTCTGAAACTTGTTAGTATCATTGAGGCATTGCAGAAACCTTCAGGCAAGCTTAACTGCAAGTTATTAGAGAGCTACAATTAGATCGAAGACTATGTATTTTGGAACATTGTTTCAAAAAAAAAAAAAAGTCTATCTTGAGCTTTCAGTTTCTCTTCCTACATCTGATCAGCTTCACTTTCAGGTTTTCATACTAATTCACAATTCTAGATTGGGAAAATCATGGTTTCACTGGAGAGCCTGCTGAATTAAAACCCAGACTGAAAACTGCACAATTGTTCAATCATGGTTCTGCTGCTGGGAAGACAGATCTCCCTAACTAATGTGGTGGACAAGAAATCCTCCTGACCCCAGAGGCACTGGGTCATTTGCCACAAGAGGGCAATACAAATGCTCCATCATGCACGTAGGTTCTGATGTGCCAGGGAAGACTCCCCAACCCACTCAAGTTGGGGCCCTTCTTTTCCTGCCCTTTGGCAAAAGCTCAACCCAGTTCTTTGGTCACAGCCCGCTTTTAAAGCCACTGTGTTAATCAAT